AACAGTAGGTTGTTTATGCACGAGCGATCTTTCACGAAACCATGCTGTGCGAGCATCAAGAGGCTTTTCGAGTCGAGAAGCTGCAGAATGCTCTTCTTCACAATCTTCTCTAGCGTTTTTGCCAAAACAGCGGTCAGACAGATGGGCCGGTAGTTATCCACTTTGTTTGGGTTACCACCTTGCGGTATTGGCTTTACGACTGAGCATTTCCAGTCGTGTGGTAATATTCCAGTGGATAGTGGCCTGTTGAACAGTTCAGTTACAGAAGCCGAGATGATGGCCGATAGGGACTTGAGAATCAGTGGGTGGATTCCATCTGTCCCAGCAGGCTTCGTCCCATCAAGACTTGCTAGAAGCTTGCGTACATCTTCAATGCTACAGTCTATGCTGTCTAGTTCAGCGAGAGCTTTACTCGTCGAAAACGTTACAGACACCTGGTCACTTGCAAATACAGAAGCGAAGTGTGCCGCCAATGGGGACACACGATTTGTGCTCGAGGTTAGGTGTTGTCCATCTAAGCCTTCCAACACTGGAATATTGCCTGCAGAATTCAGGCGCCACTTCACGTAGGCGAAGGTCCTCTTGGGAGCAGTTTTTGCGGCGGTCGCAAGCTGCTCTTCGAAGCTTCCGCGCTTTTTTGTTTTCGCGTTGTTGCAGAGATTTCGCTGTATCTTGCACCCTTTGTAGTCCGCATCAGAGTCAGATAACACGAATTTGTTCCATAATCTGCGTCGTCGTCGGGCCAGTTTGCTGTACTCCCTATCGAACCAATGTGGTTTGACTGGGTCAACTTTCCGATACTTAAGGGGTACAAGTCGGGCGCACAACGATTTCACTCCTTCTTTAATGATAATACAACAGGTTTCAATAGACAAATGCTCTGGTGAAGACCATTCCACCTGGCTCGCTGCTCGAGTGAGACCATTAATGTCCGCCTTCCAATAGCTGAAGGCTGGCTCCAGCGGGGGTGTATACGGCAGTGGCAGTTCCAAGCTGGCCATGATCATCGAATGGACACTCGCTCCTAGAAGCTCTAAGACTTGCTTGTCATGCACACGTTGCTCACAGCTGGCCAAAAGCAGGTCTAAGCACCATGGAGTCGCACGCGTAGTTATGCGTGTCGGTTGGTTGATGTTCTGTGTGGCCCCGGTTTCAAATATCAACTCCGTAAACTTCCTCTCGACTTCACAATGGCCGGGGGAGAGGTTCAGCCTCAGGTCACTGTATTCGGGGTAAGTTGAAATCGTCCATGAGTAGGAACAGCTGACGACTCATGTGCTTACGAATCTACGGCAACCAGTCCAAGCAGCGGCTCAGTGGACTGCGATATACCACGCCTACGAGCATCTCGCAGCGTCGGAGGTGGATGGAACGCCATAACTGCTCACATAAGCCATCAGCGCTTCGGTACGCGCTCACTAGTCTCCCATATAAATAAGACTTTATGTAAAGCAGAACACCATCGCGACCATTTGATGGTCTATCACAGCGGAAGCATGAGTATCCGCTGATTTCCACTTCTTGGTCGGTTACCTCCGAGTTTAACCATGTCTCAGCAAGGCCTAATACCTCTGGTCGCAGAGAGGTTTCAGAGTATGCAGCTCATCGCGCTTGTTCATCAGACTGCAGACGTTAGAAAAGGCTACTCACAGGCCGCGTTAGGAACCGCTGGGCGCGCCTGAAGCATCAGAAACCTGTTGATCCGAATTCCTCCGCGAATCTGGGTAACTTGCCAAAAATTTACAATACGGAGATTTTTTCTCCATTTTCCGTGCGTCGTTTTATTTCAGTCATCGCAGACTTGAGTTTCTCTCTGTCTGTTGGGTCTAAGTCAGAGCTCACGTGGATCTTGAGACCTTTCAGCCCATTAAGGCGGGACGAAATTAGCTTAGGACTTGCGTCTTCGACAAAAGTCACCCTCATAGGTCGACTTTTGCCCTCGGTTCTCTTTCCTAGACGAGCCATCTGTTTCATTGAGCCTGCCCTCATCCACGTCGAGCAGTCTATCAATCAGAGTTTGCAAAAACTCGAAATCATATTCATAACGCACCTGAGGATTGAAATCAAATGATTTAGGTGCGTGAAAGACCATGAGGCTGCGGCGCCTCAGGTCGCCGGACATTGTTCTTGGTTGCTTTGGTATTTGCATTTTTCATTCGTTATCATCAACTTGCTTATTGCAACTTAGAGCTTTAGTGTCAACTGAAGAAATCGTAGGCCTTGGAGAAGAGCCTGTCGGAACGCTAGTACTTTGCCCCAGGGTTAGATTCGCTGTCCTACTAAGCGCAGGCTGTTTCTCTGATTGTGCTGTGGGATAAATCGAGCTGCGCGTTTTAGCGCACTTCACTCTACAGATCCGCTTGTTAGGCTTTTCGGCTCCATTCTGCCCAATCTTAGACTGACATTGCTTAAAAATGGTCTTCAACAAACCGTGCTGAATCCCTTGAATTAGGTGGAATTGGTCCACAGACAGGCCAATGCACGATATATGAAAATTTACGCTGCATGAACTGCAAGTAATCGCATTTGCGCGATGTCCAACGATGTTGGAGCAAATACCACAAGGTGTCTGCTCTGTCATTTCAAAAATAGGCACCGATCGATAAGAGTAAAGCAGCATAATGTAGAATCACAGAAATTATAATAAAGTAGTACAGGTAGTTATGATGAGCGAAATCCAAGTGACCAATGTGCGTGAATTACACCAATATTTACAGCATAAAACGACTTTAACAATGAAAAGAGCGAGATAAACTGGCCTAACGAGGACACGAGCAAAATACGACCAGGATGGACGAGAATCAAGGCAGACTAGTACGACAGAATTGCTGCCGAAAAGGTTAACAATATATTACTGGATAATTCAGAAGCACAAATAATGCCGAATTAAACAATTGAAGACAAAAAGTTACGAAATATGACAGAAAACCTGATGACGCATCAGGTAGACACAATCGAAAGCGTTTTCGCTAGCTTCTTCATCTGGGGCTCTTCCTACCTCGGTAACGCACACTGTTTCACTGCCCTTTATTTTCAATTCTCCTTAGGTACTGAGCTCCGAAACGCAATCACATCCGTTAATCGTTTTCCAACTGTTGATCCGGATTCCATCTCACCCGCACTGTTGAATGCTGGTTGTGAGTTCCTTTGCAACACACTGACCTCCCTGTTCCAACAGGTCTGGATGGGACCACCTTAGTCAACTAGATTTTATCCACACTGCTTCAGCGTAAAAGAAGTTCAGTTGCACCGACTTTGCTAATCACAGGGGTATTAGCATAACGCCAGTTGTGACAAAATAACTGGTCCCAATCCTCTTTCCTTGCCTCACTGCGGTACGGAAATACAGGAGTAGGGAAGAGCAGACAGGTTTCCGCTCAGGACTGGACTGTATAGACCACATATTCACTCTTCGGCGTTACAAATGTGCCCCTAGGCTTCATAAGTGAGTTTGATGCGGTCGATCGATCTATTCTCTCCGCATCGATTGTGCGGAAAGATGTTCCCATGAGATACGTGAAGCTTTTACGTGCTCCGTACTCGAACAGCAGAGGCCGCGTCATGACCTACGGTGACTTGTCGGATACCTTTACGAGGACAAGTAGTGTTCGTCAGGGTTGTCCCTTGCAGAACTTAGCGGTGCAGTCGTTCAGATGTTGACTGATGGAAAACCAGTTGATCTCGATTATGAGAATGATATTGTCTTGCTATTTAGTGATGATGTATCCTAGATACACGTGGACAATCTTACTGGATTAGTCCCATTATATGGCATACGCGTTGCACCTCCAAAATGCAACGTGTTGTTGCGGGATCATCAGCCACTTGATGATCCGTTGCCTCTTGATACCGAGGAACTCGAGGTAGTTGGTCATTCCATGTACCTTGGTAGCTGCACCAGCAATGATGAACGCATAAGAATTGAAGTCAGTTCAAGTATTGTAAACGGTAGCAATGCGTTCCTTAGTTTGCGGCATCTGTGGCTTCAAAAGGGGTTTCCGTGGGTCTACTAATCCATCTCTGCAAGGCCACAGTGAGGGCCGTCCTATTCTATTGGAGTAAGAATAGGCCGTTTCAACCTGAGAATCTGTGGCGCCTTCAGGTCTTTGATCATCGTTGCCTGCGAAGCATCGCTTGTGTCGGATGGCACCAGTGTGTCCGTAAAGATGATATGCTTAGGCGAGTACTACGCAGTGGTAATCGTGCTAGTTTCCTAGAACAACGGATAGCACTGAATAAGTTGTGTTGACTTGGGCGCGTATTACGTGTGCCCTATCACTGCTTTACGAAGAGGGTCTTGTTTTGTTCCCCAGAATTGGGGTGACGCATATCTCCCGGCGGGCAAAAGTTAACTTAGTATCGGGAAGTGAACTTACTGCCTACAAAACTGGGTCCGTTGGCAAGCCTCACCTTCCAGGCTGAAGTCCATATGACCCACGTTGTGCTTGGCCTCAGACTTAACAGGACGTGGCTGACAGTGGGGACCAGTGGCGCGTCTGCTTTTTCGCCATGGTCGGATTGCCTTTTAAAAGTGTATTTTGTGATGGGTTATCTGCCGGTTAATGATTAATTATGGCACGGAGCTGTGAAAGCCGAAAGTAAGCTGTCTCGACGAGGCCACCTTATCTTTGCACGATAGCTAACTGTGAATGTATACTGTTGTAACTGATGGCTGTTGACACGAGGTGCAGGTGCCTTGACCCTGAATGTTCCTTTAAGACATTAAGGTTTTGCCTTAGGCCCCCATTCTCTTCCACGTATTACCCTTTTCCCCTAGTTCATTGAAATTGTAGGCTATCCTACTGCTGGTGTTTATGGTGTCTGAATTAACATATGTACATTACCTACCTTTCGGCTTATTTCTGTTTCGGCGAGTATTTCCCATTATTTGGAACAAATAAAACAACAAAATTGGCTCTTCAGTTTTTGTCAGTTTAAAAGTACCATTATGAAAAGTGTTCTGCGTTGTAAAAGCAAAGTTCCGCAGCCGCACAGACGCCTCACGTCGACTGATTCGGGCGGTTGATTGCGGCTGAAAGTATAGCCGCCACGCGCCTTTTGGTCACTGACAGTCCAGGCGGCCCCTTACTAAGTTAATGGAAACAATAGAATTAATAGAAGTAGGGCAGTGCTTACTCTATTGGAAACGTATACAGTACTACTTTTCTGATATTTTAATTTACCGAATGACGTAATCGTTTTATTACGACACGTAAACATAAGTGCGGTAGGGTTTATCATCCTTTCAGCATTAACTACTTTGTGGCAAGTTCATACAATCGGGAAGACAATTATTCAATACAGATGTTACCAGCACATTCTTTATCATAACCCACTTACCTGTTTTTAGTTGGTTTCCGAGTATCTGATGGCCTCGGACCAATTCTTGCTTGGGGGTTCAACTTTGTTTCTCTGGCTTCAGTTGAGGATTCCGACTTGGTTGATGACAAGACCGGCGCTTTCAACTTTTCGTCCTCGTTCTGCCCTAGTCGCTGTTTGGATGTTTTTGAATTTGGGTCTCTGTAGATGTGTAGGAGATGTTCTCTTGTCCGCAGGAGAGTTGCTTTTAATTCCTCGCGCTCTTCACATTCTCGTTGTACCGTTGCTCGTAGCATCTCGATCTGTATGTGAAGTCAGAAACTGGTTTCATTATGACAGTTACGGAAAATATTCGTATGAATCCATACAGCGCAGCTCCATTGTGTAATTACAAAGTCATTGGCCTGTATTCACGAACATCGGGAACGCCGGGAGGATAGTAGTTAGGTTTGAGACGGCTGGCGCTGTGCAGATAAATTTTTATACAACAGCAGGTGTTTTGGAACCTTCAGTACCTCAGTGAGATTTATTACGAGCTCAACTCGACCACAGGCTCCACCATGAGCTCTACTTGCTAACAAGCCAACTGCCTTGTCCCATATTACTTGACTAACCTGAGGCTATTTTAGTGAAAACCCAGGGCTACCATACAGTAACATGAAAATTAGCATGAATAAACTCATAAAAATACTTAATTGCATTGGTGCTTTTTATGTTCATAACAGGGGTCCTCGGAGTTGACCACATCAGCGGTGAGGTACCGTATAGGACAATCGAGAAGGTAGTAGAGCTTTTGCATTCGTTCCCTCAACTCTAAAATTCCTATCTGGCTAACCAAATAACCTCCACGTGGTGCCAGCAGGGTGGTTCAACTTAACCCGTTCCAGCGAATAGTTCGGCGGCACTGTTCAGGACGTGGTGCGTTTTCGCTTGGCGAACCTTCTCTCTATAAATAGCCACATAGGTCCGTTTAGCAACACTGCAATGTGATGGATGTGATTTACCATCAACTAAAGTCACTGCCGCTTGCCCTTCCGGAGGATCCCCACTTCACGAACACCATCCAATTCGAAGAGCTCCATTGATCCCTCCATACGATGGCGAACACAGCAAAGAAACTCACGAATTCAGTCACAGTTCACAAGTTCACTCACCATGCCAAGTAACACATACGGTTAGCGGCATCCGGTTTTGGATTTGCCTGTCACTGTGTTCAGCCACAGGACGCCTACGCCTACAGAGGGACCATGGGTGGCTTGCGCTGCACCACCCTGTAGCGCCCAGAAACATAAATGCTATCTTTCATGTACACTTTAATGGTTGACCGATTGTACATTATTCTTTATTATTTTAATCTTCCTTACAATCGGCTCGACACTCGACCGCCTTGTTAGTTCCCGCGCTCACGTGTTCGCTCTTGTCTCGCTTCATCCGTCTGCGTCTTCTTGTAGTCCATCGAATACAGTCCGCTGTGTCGGACTCCAACTGTCTTCTGATATCAGCGCTTACTTTCGCGCAGCGTCTCGGACTAGGATTAACTAGTCCTACGAATTGGTGACCCCGATTCGCACGCGCGAATTCAACCTTTTTTCCTCGTTTACATTTTTGTGTATGTCCCTTCTTCTAGATTATATACGTGTATTCATTTGTTTCTTGCATAATTTTAGTACTTTCATTGTGTTTTTGTTCATTCTTTATCTTTCGACTCACATTTCGAGAGAGGCATCTGAGTCGTTTCACAGCGTAACCATGCTTACTTTGGCTGTTCCAAGTTTCATGGAACACAGCCCAGAGGTTTATGATATTCGAGATCAAACTGGAAAATAAGGGCATTACGGCGGACCGTCCGAGGTACATTCAGCTCATCTCACGCCTTCCTTCGTCGGTTGTGACGCTGGTTGAGGACATTCTACTCTGCCCATCAAATGAGGAGAAGTATGGAGCGATGAAGCAAGCGATTTTAAGAGAGTTCCAGCCGAGCGCACGAGCTCGATTTGAACAGCTCAATGGTCTCAAGCTTGGAGATCGCAAGCCGTCGGCGTTGTTCTGCGAACTTCAGCGTATGGCTGGTCCCTTATTCTTGAGCGAAGAAGGGATAAAGGAGCTGTGGTTTGCACGTCCCCCAGAGTCATTGCCGGTAATGCTGCCCATGTTTATAAATACACCCCTGAAAGAATTAGCTACCAAGGCAGACGCTGCGTTCGAATATCTTCCGCAGCAGATGATCAGTAGCTCCGGGAACGTATTCTGATCGATGAAAACCGAATCCCATATTTTCTATCAGTCGTCAGGCCGATCTGACCCTAAAGACGAGGAAATTGCGCTACTTCGCAGCAGGCTAGCAACAATGAATGCTTCGAAGTAGCGTGTGCCACGGTCAAATGCTGACCACGTTTTGGCTGCCGTTCATTGCAGCTCGTCTGTGCTTCCGCCGAGTACGTCTCGTTTGGCACGAAAGCGCAACATTTGCCCTGCACGTTCTCAGTCAGATAATACCAAACCCATCGAAGAAGTATGTTGGTATCATCGCCAATATCAGGGAAGCGCTAGAGGTTGTCGGGCTCCCTGCATTAGGCACTACTCAGCCGCTTCAGGGATAGCGAATAGCCTGCATACTATCATGACAAATGGATCCGTCAATAACCAAGTAAATCGCCTGTTTTACGTTAAAGATCGACGTTCTTCCATCACCTTCCTCATCGACACGGGAGCGGAAGTCAGCGTCATCCCAGCGACCGCTAACGACAAGCACTCAGCCTACGTACAATTTGCGTGCGGCCAACGGTTCTCCGATAGCTTCATTCGGTCAGCGCACGATGTACCTGGACTTCAATCTTCACCGAGATTTTCAGTTAGTCTTCGTGGTTGCGTCTGTACCCTTCGCAATTATCGGTATCGACTTCCTTCCGACATTTTGGGTTGCATGTTGATGCTGATCGCCACAGACTTTTAGACGACCGTACTAAACTAGGGGTCGAAGGCGCTCTTACGGACGCCCCGATAACAGTCCCGTTTTCGAATCGCCGATGTACCATCAGGTTATGCGAACCTACTGTCTGAATACCCGCGACTGGCACGACCAGCTGCAGTGCTTCCGCCAGTCACGACAGACGTCGCCCATCACATAGTCACGTGTGGTCAGCCAGTTTGCGCACGACCAAGGCGGCTTGCTCCTGACAAACTACGTGCATTCCGTGCTGAATTCGACCACATGCTTCAACTCGGTATCGTCAGACCGTCCAACAGCTCATGAGCGTTGCCTCTGCACATGGTTCCGAAGAAGGTCATGGGGAACTGGCGTCCTTGCGGCGATTATCGAACCTTGAATACGGTTACTGCGAGAGAGGCGGGCCCAGCCAATGTCCGAATACGAGATCGCAAACGTGTGTGGGTTTCCTGTGGAGTACGTGAGCTGTCTGCTACATGTGAAAGCACGAGCATGGTACAAAGTCAAACTGTTCGGAAAGCAGGCACGAGTTTTTGGCCAACGAATGCAAGCCAGTTCAGGCGAGAGTTTTGGCTAGCAAATACAAGTCAGCGCCAAAGGAGGCAGTGCATTCGGCCAAATATGGAAAAACTGTGGAACCAAAATCACTGACATTGGCTGAGAGCCAGTCGCATAGCTAGGCTTCCTAAAAATAGTACGTTTCGTTACCTAATAAATACGAGCGGTCTGTCGTGTAGAATATACTCCCTGTTACCGAGTCTTTGCCCTTTTTCTGTATCCCGTTGGTTGGCTGGTGCGGGACTGAACAGTCAGACGGTCGTAGCCTAGCAGGTTCCGTGTTAAGGAAACAGTACTACAACAGTGGCGACGCAGAGTTAACAAGTCGAACCCAAACATGGCAATCCCCTTTGCACAAATGCAAGAACTGTTGCAGACTCTGTTACAACAGCAGCAAGCGCAGTTTGAGAAGGCTCAGGCCAGACTGATCGAAACACTGACCAAGAATTTGTCTCTACAAGCAGGCTCGGTAACAGGTGCCAGTGAACGTGGCCCCTCCGAAGAAGTCTTGACCCAACAAGTTGGTGAGTTCCATTATGATGCCGATGCCGGTATTACGTTTGAATCCTGGTTTCATAAATACGAAGATCTGTTTCGAGTTGATCTAGCAGCTGTCCCAGAAGACAAGAGAGTTTGTCTCCTGCTACGGAAATTGGGTGCGGCCGAGCACGCAAAGTTCATGAATTTCATCTTACCGAAGAAAAGTACTGATTTAACTTTCCACGAAGCCGTTGCAACTTTGTCGCAGATATTTGGTGAACAATCCTCATTATTTAATATCCGATACAAGTGCCTGACGATGACCAAGCGAGGCGATGAAGACTGGGTAACTTACTCAAGTCGCGTCAATCGTGAATGCGAACGGTCCCTGTTTCACAAGATGTCAGCAGATCAGTACAAGTGCCTTATTTATGTGTGCGGTCTTCAGGCGGCCAAAGATGCTGATGCCCGAACAAGAGTCTTGAATAGAATCGAACAAAATCCAGAGATTACACTGCAGGAAGTGACGAATGAATGCCAACGGTTGATGAATTTGAAACATGATGCTGCGCTGATCCAACAGTCGCCCACCCAGAGCAGCCCGGACATCATTTGCAGGGTCAGTCGAAATCCCCAAAAGGACCCAGTTCATGTGAGTTCAAAAGATTCAAAACCCTCTTCTCCTTGCTGGTTTTGCAGAGAGTGGCATTTTGGCCGAAACTGCCCGTTCCGGAATTACATTTGCCGCCGTTGTGGTAAGAGAGGGCACAAGGAGTCGTGTTGTCTTGCAAGACGATCAACAGTGATCGGAATAAATCGTCGAATTCCGGTGCGCTCCCGATGTCACAACGAAGCTAAAACAGTGACGGCAACTTTCAAGGTTGATGGTGTCAGCAGGCGTAAGTTCACTGTGCTGAAGATCAATGGTAAACAAGTTAGATTACAGTTGGATACTGCGTCAGATATCACCTTGCTTTGTCGAGAAACATGGTGCATGCTGGGGCGACCGCCACTTGTCCACACAGACCACACAGCACGAAACGCATCCGGGGGTATCTTGAAACTGCTCGGAGAGTTGCATTGTCAGGTCAGTTTTCGCGATCAGCATATACGCACCACTTGTTTGGTGACGGATCAACCAGGATTGAATTTGCTTGGTCTCGACTGGATGGACGAATTGAACTTACTTGACCAGTCGGTAAACAGTATTTGCCAGAAATTACAAGTTGAGAAACCCGCTAAGATGCTGAATATGAACCACGAACTCTACACTCAAATCGCTGAACTAAAGCGACGCCATGAAACTTTGTTTCAATCCAGTCTTGGATGTTGCCGTATTGTCAAAGCAGAATTGAACCTCAAACCAGACGCTAGACCGGTTTTCAGACCAAAACGTCCAGTGCCGTATGCAACACAACCAATTGTGGAATCTGAGTTGAATCGCTTGCAGTCGGAAGGCATAATCGAGCGTGTACATTTCTCGGAATGGGCGGCACCCATCGTTGTGGTGAAGAAAGGAAGCGGTAAGGTACGTATTTGTGCTGACTTTTCGACTGGTTTAAATTCCATGTTGGAGGCACACCAATACCCTCTGCCTATACCTGAAGATTTGTTCTCCAAGCTTAACGGGGAAAAATGGTTTGCCAAACTCGATCTAGCTGACGCATACCTACAGGTTCCAGTGGCTGAGAACTGCAGAAAATTATTGACGGTCAACACGCACCTTGGTCTTTTTCAGTATAATCGGTTGCCTTTTGGTGTGAAGACGGCTCCCGCTATTTTTCAACAAATCATGGATACGCTCCTGAACGATATCCCTGGGGTCGCAGTGTACTTGGATGATGCATTGATTATGGGGTCTGACCCTCAAGCTTTGATGGCCACTTTGGAGAAAGTGTTAACCCGTCTAGAGGAAGCTGGTTTTCGGTTACGAATGGAAAAGTGTAATTTCCTGATGGAAAGTGTTAAGTTGCTCGGTTTCCTCATTGACAAACATGGTCGGCGTCCGGATCCCGCTAACATAGAAGCTGTCAAGCAGATGCCCCCACCGAAAGACGTTGCCCAACTTCGCTCATTCCTGGGTCTTGTGAGCCATTATAGTGCTTTCTTACCAAGCCTACATCAGACAAGAGTTCCTCTGAACGAGTTGCTGATGAAAGGGAAAGAATGGCGATGGACAAAGGAGTGTCAACAATCCTTTGATACAGTGAAAAAAGCACTTAGTTCCGACTTGCTTTTGACTCACTTCAATCCAAACTTGGAGATTGTCGTCGCTTCGGACGCTTCCAATTATGGTGTGGGTGCTGTTATTTCTCATCTGCTTCCAGGAGGAGAAGAGAAGGCTATCGCCCACGCAGCACGGTCCCTGACGGTGGCGGAGAAGAATTACAGCCAGATTGAGAAGGAAGCGCTGGCGATCGTTTTCGCAGTGAAACGGTTCCACAAGATGTTATACGGCAGACATTTTAAACTGATTACTGATCACAAGCCCTTGTTGTCGATATTCGGATCGAAGAAGGGTGTTCCTGTTTTCACTGCAAGTCGGTTACAGAGATGGGCTACCATACTGCTAGGTTACGATTTCAGCATACAGTACCGCTCAACACAACAACTCGGCCAAGCTGACGCTCTATCTCGCCTTACCAGCTCCCAGACGAAGGAGAACGATGAATGTGTGGTCGCATTTGTTAATTTCGAGTCAGAAGTTCAGCAAATTCTGTTTGACAGTGTACGAGAGTTGCCTGTAACGTCGGACACAATTCGTGTGGAGACGGCTAAAGACGAACTCTTACCGAAAGTGATAGAGTTCGTGCAATCCAGCTGGCCCAATATCAGAATTTCGGCTGATCTACAACCCTTTTACAATCGACGCGGATCTCTTTCGGTTGTTGGTAACTGTCTGATGTTTGGAGATCGAGTAGTGGTACCGAAAAAGTTGCGGAGCCGAATTCTACAGCAGTTTCATTCAGGACATCCGGGAACCAGCCGAATGAAGGCGCTGGCACGAAGTTTTGTGTATTGGCCCCAAATGGATTCAGAAATCGAACAGTTTTGCCAAAGATGTGAATCTTGTCAGCAGGCGGCGAAGGCCCCTCCAAAGTCTCCGTGGCAACCTTGGCCCGAGTCGGAGAAGCCGTGGCAGCGAGTACACTTGGATTACGCAGGACCAATCAACGGTCAGTCCTACTTGATTTTCGTTGATTCCTACACGAAGTGGCCCGACGTGATTCCGATGCAATACCCCACCGCCCAGCACACTATCAATGAGCTGAGCAAATTGTTCCAGTATTTTGGCACACCGGAAACACTAGTTACGGATAACGGACCGCAGTTCACATCTACGCTATTTCAAGAATTCTGCGCACAAAACGGAATTCGGCACAAGTTTTCACCGCCGTACCATCCACAATCAAATGGGCAGGCCGAAAGATTCGTAGATACATTTAAACGTGCTCTTCTTAAGGCGGAAGGATCGAGGGTGTCACGAGATATAATCCAACCGTTCCTGAGAATGTATCGCAACACTCCGAATCCAAACACACCAGAAGGGAAGTCTCCTGCGGAATGCCTCTTCGGACGAAAAATTAGAACGATATTTGATAGCCTGATTCCTAGATGTGATGAAAAACACAACGGACAAACGAACGAAGAGCAGGAAGGGAGACTTCGTAGGTTTAAGGTCGGTGAACTGGTGTACGCACGAAACTTCCAGACTCCGGGAAGGTGGTCCATCGGAACGGTTATCGGAAAAAAGGGTAAGGTTATATATGAGATAATGGTCGGAAAGGACAAGTGGACCAGGCATGTCAACCATCTACGGCCACGACATGGAAACACCCAGAGACCTCAAGCATCGTCAAAACTACAGTGGGATATTCTGCTAGATACATTTGGATTGGAAAACGAAACTGATGCCTCAAATAGGATAGAACCGGTTGCTCAATTACCGCGTGATATACCGAGCAAGCTAAGTCGAAGACGAAGACAGCCGCAGTGGCTGCAAGTGAACCCAAGGGAAAAAAGCTACGACCAAGCTCAGGTGCGAAAGGTAAGGAGAAGCAGTCCTTTGAAAGAGGGAGGTGCGAGAGAGGCGGGCCCAGCCAATGTCCGAATACGAGATCGCAAACGTGTGTGGGTTTCCTGTGGAGTACGTGAGCTGTCTGCTACATGTGAAAGCACGAGCATGGTACAAAGTCAAACTGTTCGGAAAGCAGGCACGAGTTTTTGGCCAACGAATGCAAGCCAGTTCAGGCGAGAGTTTTGGCTAGCAAATACAAGTCAGCGCCAAAGGAGGCAGTGCATTCGGCCAAATATGGAAAAACTGTGGAACCAAAATCACTGACATTGGCTGAGAGCCAGTCGCATAGCTAGGCTTCCTAAAAATAGTACGTTTCGTTACCTAATAAATACGAGCGGTCTGTCGTGTAGAATATACTCCCTGTTACCGAGTCTTTGCCCTTTTTCTGTATCCCGTTGGTTGGCTGGTGCGGGACTGAACAGTCAGACGGTCGTAGCCTAGCAGGTTCCGTGTTAAGGAAACAGTACTACAACAGTTACCACGCCTGATCGCTACTCGATCCCACACATAGTGGATCTCACCGCCAATCTTGGGGGCAAAAATATCTGCAGCAAAGTTGACTTGCTAAGCGCATACAACCAAATTCCGGTAGCCGAAGCGGACATCGCTAAAACTGCCGTGACGACTCCATTTGGTTCGTTCGAGTTTCTGCGCATGCCATTTAGTCTAAAGAATGCCGTGCAAACTTTTCAGCACTTCATCGACCAAGTTTGTCGCGGCTTAGACTTTGCTTACGCTTATCTCGACGACATTTTAATCGCGAGCTGTTCACGAGAAGAGCACATGCGCCACGTACGAACACCTTTTGATCGTTTATCTCAACACGGGGTGACGATCAACGCAGAAAAGTGTTCGTTTGGGGTCGACTCAGTAAACTTCCTCGGCCATCGTATCTCCACTGCAGGCGTCGTGCCACTGCAGGATAAAATTCAAGTCAACGTCTACTATCCCGAGCCTCATTCTTTCAAACAGCTCAGGCGTTTTGATGGGCTTGTCAACTTTTACCGACGGTTCATACCCAACTGCGCCTCGCTGATACAACCCCCCAAAGAACCTTCTCCGCAGGAAACTCAAGAAAAACGAATTTCCTGCCGCAGCACGCGCTGCTTTTAAGTCGCTAAAAGAGGCTATCGCCAACATACCTTCTATAGCGCATCACGATCCGGCCGCCCCACTATCCCTCAGTACTGACGCCTCGAATGTGGCAGTCGGCGCTGTTTTACAGCAACCCGTAGCCGACACGTGGCAGTCCTTAGCGTTTTTCTCCAAACGCCTACAACCTACCGAATCTCGCTACAGCACGTTCGGTAGAGAACTACTAGCCATATATCTAGCGATACATCACATTCGACACGTCTCACAAGGCCGCTATTTGCCGTCTTCACCGACCACAAACCCTGACTTACGTGCTCGGCTCGACTACCGACCGATACTCTCCTAGAGAGTCGCGCCACCTTGACTATATCGCTCAGTTTACGACCGATATACGGCATGTCTCAGGTGTGCACAACGCCGTCGCCGATGCACTTTCTCGCATCCAAGCTATCTCCGCTGACGCCGGCACTGCTATCGACTTGGCAGCCATGGCCACAGCGCAACTCAACGACACTGAGGTTGATCTACTACGCAGGTCTCCCTCATTGGACATACGACCCGTTCCGCTGACATCATCAGACGGCACTATACTTTGCGATTTATCTCTGGGCACGCCGCGCCCAGTCGTCCCACGCGAGTTTCGGCAGACCGTGTTCGACACGTTGCACGGCTTGTCTCATCCAGGCGTTCGTGCATCGGTTAAACTCGTAACCGCACGATTCGTTTGGCGCAATGTTAATCGGGACGTCCGTACTTGGGCAGCTGCTTGCCTTCCGTGTCAACGCGCGAAGGTGCACAAGCACACGAGAAGCCCATTAGGCACATTTTCGACGCCAGACGCACGTTTTCATCACGTGCACGTCGACCTCGTAGGTCCTCTGCCGCCTTCCAAAGGCTCTGTATATCTACTGACCTGTATCGATCGATTTACTAGATGGCCTGAGGCCGTCCCTATCCCAAATTGCTCCTCGGAAACGGTAGCGAAAGCTTTTCTGGAGCGCTGGGTAGCTCAATACGGCTGTCCCGCCATCGTGACCACCGATCGAGGGTCACATTTCTCGTCGACATTTGCCACTTTGCTTAAGGATTTAGGCTGTCGCCACGTTCAGACGACGGCGTATCATCCGGCCGCTAACGGCATGGTGGAGCGTTTTCACCGCCAGTTGAAGGCAGCGCTACGGGCGCACGCAGATCCTTCATGGTCTGAAACACTTCCCCTCGTCCTCCTAGGATTAAGAAACACTGTTAAAACCGATTTCGACGCAACACCAGCGCAGCTAGTCTACGGTTGCACGCTGCGGTTGCCCGGACAGCTGGTAGCACCAGTCCCCTCTACTTCCTCTTTTGACTACGGAAGTTACACCGATCGATTGGCTCACCAGATGCGTGAGCTGCGTCCACCCGCTCCTCGATCGCAGAAGACACCAGTGTACGTGCCTGAGAAGCTGTCTACTTGCTCACACGTCCTTCTTCGCGCAGACGGTGTTCGACAGCCTCTTCAGTCGCCGTACATAGGACCTTTTAAAGTGCTACACCGTGCGAGTAAGACGTACACTATTGACCGCGGTGGTCGACGCGAAGTCGTCACCATCGACCGTCTAAAACCCGCCTTTATGGAAGAAACCACCTCGCCTACTTCGTCTAGTAGTGCTTCGTGCGACGTCACAACTCACCGCACCAGCTTACAGAATCCTAGTGCAGTTCAACCAGACCACGATCTCGGTCTACAAGCTACAGCCGTCTGGAAATCTCCCGAATCTAGCCCGCCACCCACGACCAATCGCCGTGGTCGGGAGGTGCGTCAGCCGGTTCGTTTCTCCGACTATCTACAGTGTAAATACCTTTAGCTTTATAGATATTGTGTATTTTTGCCCCGTTTTGATCGATTAACGTTTTAAAAACAAACAAGAATTAGCAAAAACCTCCAAAAAACCCCTTAAAATATTCAGAAAAAGCAAAAAATTTAAACACGCAGATCAATCGTTCATTCTTTTTAGCGTTTTCTAAGCATGCTTTTGTATTTTCTCGTCTTTACATGCCCCAGACTCTCCCGTTCGATCGACTGGCCCACACGAGGAATGTTTTCGAGGACCCTGACGCGAACGCTGGTCATTTCTCCGAGGGACGAGTGTCGCTTCTCCGCGGAACGAGTGTCACTTCTTCGCAAGACGAAGGTAGCTTCTCCGTGGGACGACAGTCGTTTTGGCGCTGGGCGGGGTGCGGCGGGGGAGAGACCACTCCCAAGTGCACCGTTTGGCAGCAGCGGAGGTTGAGGTCCTGTCGGTCTTTTTCTGGGCTAGCCAGTTTTCTGTAGTCCGACAAGCCCACTCCAACGGCTCGCCGAAATGCACCCTGCCCTGCAATCTATAAATAACAAATCACAAACGGCACAGCTGACTCCGACTTCCGGCGAACCCCCATTTGACACGAACGCTCACTCATTTTTACTCGGTACGAGTTTGCCTTACGAACCTCGATTCAACAATCCTTTCCGAAACCGAAGGCTTTCTATGTTCAGCCTTTTAGGGGGGGAGCTTTGTAGCGCCCGAAAAGATAAATGCTATCTTTCATGTACACTTTAATGGTTGACCGATTGTACATTATTCTTTATTATTTTAATCTTCCTTACAATCGGCTCGACACTCGACCGCCTTGTTAGTTCCCGCGCTCACGTGTTCGCTCTTGTCTCGCTTCATCCGTCTGCGTCTTCTTGTAGTCCATCGAATACAGTCCGCTGTGTCGGACTCCAACTGTCTTCTGATATCAGCGCTTACTTTCGCGCAGCGTCTCGGATTAGTATTAACTAATCCCACAACCCACAGTTCATTCCACACATCCCATATCCAGTGTAAACCTGAAGGAATAAAGTCGGGAGGCATGTGGATGGGAGCCACGTTTCATCAACGGAGCCGTGCCACACTGCTTCACAGGCAAACACAAGCACGCCGTATTGGGAATCAAGCGCACACAAGGAGTGGCTGGACTGTAGTCCTCTCCACAGTAAGTGCATGGAACCACACATCGAACCTAGCACGACCACAAGGACCGTGAACCCCGTCCCCTCTAGCAACTGCTAACTCTCTCCTGGAGCCAATATGGACGAGGTAGTGGGTTATAGACAGGTGAGCACCTTGACAACCAGCACATCAAGTGCAGCCACACCGGGTATGTTAAACAACAGTCAATCAATTGAAATAACATTAGCAAATAAAATATATCGGTTAGAGCATACGGCTATGCAGACATAACTCTTCCCAAAACTAGCATCTGAAGTTAGTTGGTTAGCAACGAATCCGCGATAAGTACAAAATGTCCACAAGTTAGTCAAAAAATAATACAAACGCAATGAAGTTAAGGAAGATAACCAAAGAGTGTACGCAACGTGGCCAGGTAATAGAAGATTAGTCGGGTAGACAGAACAAACCAAATAAAATGGATGAAATTTATCCAGCTTAAAAGACCTAGTTTAAGTGTAAGTTGATTTAGCCAGACTACGGTGAAGAAGTATCATGAATGCAACACATATACTTACATATATACAGACATACAAATTCAGCATATTACTGGTTAATATGCTATATTTTTATGTAACAATGAACCATACCTGTTTGTAATATCATGATCATGCCTTCGCAGACGTGTCCCGCACTGTCGGGAGTAAAACTTTTATTCAGTTATCTTTCACCTGGTAATTTTATCACTTATCCTTTTCTCTTAAGTAACGAGAGCTCGCTAACCTT